AAAAAGACATCCCGTTTGGAGTCCAAACAGGACAAGGCACACTTTTCTCCAAAAAACAAAGAGGACGATTGCATTTTTCTAAGTATCAATCCTATTCTGTGCAGTCTGATTCTACAGGTTTTGGTTCTGCAGACCCTTGCCCACCAATACCAGACAGAGTGGTTTCCAATTTCTGGTTCAATATCAGGAAGCTGGTGCAAGTCCCCCACTGGCTATAATGCAGTCTCAGACATTTTGCACTCGGTAGTGCAGTCTCTCCTCTTAACCGTGAGCCGCAGCCAAGGGTAAACCTTGGGAGTCAACATGTAGGCAATGCTGGGCTAGATGGACAAATAGTCTGACCTGGTATAAGGCAGCCTCCTAGGCTCATTATCACCTTAAAGGCTAAGGAATGAGGAGGAAAACCAGGTTGTGTTACACTGCATGCTGCTAAGAATTCTATGACACAGGTGCACAACTTCCTTAAGCCTACACAGCAGTGTCAAATTTAGGAATCTGAGCGAGAGCTGCCAGTTCTCCCTTCTCCCTTTGGAAATCAATTTTGCAACTATAAAAATGTGTGTGTGTTGCATGTCTGAAACTTTGACTTGCATGATGCTGCAATTTGTTTAAACTGTGAAACTGTATGTATGAAAACATCGCTACAGTTATTTTCTATATTCAATTCCACTAGAAGAGTAATAAGCAAACTCCCCCTACAGGATTTATCTGTCAATTGCAATATAAATATATTCTTGCAGGCTCTGATTTGTTCTGCTAAATATTTGGTAATCTGTAAAGACTGCTCAGAATAAACTCAGTTGCTTCACAAAGACAGAAGTATCTTCATCAGAGTATTGTACATTTCATTTCCTTTGCAAGATGAATAATGCAATAAGAACACCCACTCCCTTTTCCCTGGTCCCTCAGGCCAAAATAGACAAGTTCAACTACAAATGCTAAAGGGGAATTTTTTTTGCAAACTGCTATCAATTATCCCACTTTTTATTAGCAAGGTTCCACTGGGCAAAAAAATAAATAAAAATGTTTTGATTAGGGATTTGGTGTTTTGTTTGTTTTGGGTTTTTTTTATCTGAAAGGAAAAAAAGGTTTCAGAGAAGAAAGAAATGAGATCAAATTAAAGCAAAATCATTTTCTTGTATTTAAAAAGCTTGATACTGTTTTATACAGCAAATGCCTTTTGTCTTAAGCCATTCACCAGGAACTAACACTGCAGGTTTAATGCCAACAAATTCAACCGCTGCAAATGCAAATGTAACAGCCCATTTTTCTCGCACCAAAACATACGATAATAATACTTTTTTTCAGTGCTCCATACTTTTCATATTGCTGCTCTGAAGTAGCTTGGGCATATTGGCCTGAGGTTCTGAAGCACCTCAGGCAGTATTGTCTGAGGTAACCTGATGTAAATAATGATCAGGAGCAAAAAAATAGAGCCTAAAAGAATCATAGCCCAGTAGTAGAATATGCTTTTCACAATGCTGATTGGGTCAGATTTGCTCAACCGGTAGCCTACTATGTCAAACAAAGTCCAGCAATCATTCTGAAAGTGGTTGGGGTAGATGCCCCTGAGACTGGTTTGGTTAGATTCTTTGTTATACCAGCAAGGCATGTCTGGCAAAGCAAGAGCAATAGGAGCTGGTCTGAGGCAAAGTATTCTCAGTTAGCAAGGGAGCCAAGAGTTCAGGCACAGGGAACTAATCAGAAGAAGCTGTTGCTGCCGAAGCAGCAGACAAGCAGCAGTTTAGTGCTTTTAAAGCTTTTCCTCCACTCCTTTCTGGAGCCCTGGGCATGCTTCAGTCCTTGCCCCATCCTCATGAGTAGGACTCAGAAATGGCAGGTTTTAATTGGGTCTTCTGTTCTGAGCCTCAGCTCAGCCGAGTCACCATCTCTGCTCCTTAGGTGTTCAGGGTAATGGTGGGCAGAGGAACAAGCTGTAGGTGTGAAGTCAGGGATCATAGATTCCCTTGATTCTGTGGATTCCTGGGGTAGGTGGATCACTTGGGGCTAGTGGCTTCAGGGGTTATTGCCTCCCCATGGTCCTTTTGCATGGCAAATGGTGGGATCTTTCTCCTTTGAGATGCTAGGATAGTTCTGAGTTGAGTGTGGGCTAGTTCTAATGCATGGTCAATAACTCTTCTGGATTTGTTCTCTGCCTGAGACTAGTTCTGTACCAAAATATTTCTCAAAAGTTTCCTTCTGCTGCAAAAGAAGCTGCCATTTTTCCCCTGCCTTATTCTTTTTGCACTTGAGAATTTCTTTAGAACTTTGGTGGGTGCAGGATTTTGAGCTTACTATATAATTGTAAGTCTGCTAAGCTTTTATTTCTCTAGCACTCTGCAGCCTCCCTGGCTGCCTGCACTTCCTGATATGAAAAAGTCCCATGGGAGGATTTACTTCTTGACATCTTTCCCTGGGCACCTGAGGAGGCTGCAGTGTACAGATTTGTAGTATAAACGGAAGGACACTCACCCCCTCCACCATCTCAAAAGTAAAGTTAGGGCAACAGGAACACCGCACACCACCCATGAGAATTCCACAAACATTTCCTTTTTCCTTTCATAATTTTTGGATGCAGTTTCCTTTTTCATTAATCATTGGAGAATGATAAAGCCTGATAATCTTTTCTCAACTAAAGGAAGCAGTGCTCAACCAGGCCCCTGTGAATGTGACCTCTGTCTGGAAGAATACCCCAAGATCAGCACATATCCATTTGCAGGTGTTATGCCCTGACCATGAGTAGGAGAGCGTTGACAGAATACATTGTTTGAAGCAAGAAGGGAGGCATGAAATTCTGAAGAGCAGCATCATTCATCTGATACCACAGAATCACTCATTCCTCCTTCTATCTCCTTGTCACTCTGAATTCCTAGACTGGCCATCTAGGAGTCCTAGTGCTATACCCCTGCAGAGTATGCGGTAATGTGTGTGTGGTGTGTGTGTGTTGTACATTAAGGTGTGTGTATATGAGAGCTCTCAACTGCTTTCTGAACTGTATTCAACAAACACAATGTCTTGCCTTTTCTCCTCACATAAGACTCTCCCTAAATTAATTCAAGTTTTGTATAGATTGACTATATGCCCAACATCACTAGAACATCAGGCAAAGGCTTTATACAGTTCTCAGCCTAATAAATTTGTTTTAGCCTGCCCTGGGATGGGAGAGTTGTAACAAATGTGTTGCAGACAGTTTGGCCTCAGTGCTGTGCAGACAGCTCTTTAGCATATACTGTTGATGCCAGACAAGTTTTGCTTTGCCTATTGATAGGCTGCAGCTCAGCCTAGGCCAAGATTTATAAAAGGTCTCCACTTCATAAAATATTGCGGGCAGATTGAATTGAGTACTTTTTGTTTACTTCTGACCTTTGTTTGAAAAGCATTGGCCTACCAACTAGAGGTTCAGAGAAGAAGTGTATTAATAGGGTTGTAGAGTGATATTTTCTGGCCTGCCTTTTGTGGCTGTTGCCTGGTTATCATCATATTCATTGAAAATGTTACGGAAAAAGACAGGGGAATTGATTGAATTAAACAGGAACAAGCAACATTAACCATTATGTTATATTGAATTTTACACTGGGACTCAATATGCATTTGCTCAATAAATTGTTGCAATTATAGCATATAAAAAGTATTATTTGCATATTTGGAACTATATCTGGCCTTGGCTCTAGGAGGTTATTTACACAATCAGTGTTCTGTTACCACATGGTCTGCTTATTTTACTTGGTCTCACAGTGAATCCACATGGAAATGAATTGTGCCAAGGATCCAACACATATGAGGATTTCATGTCCCTTTAAGTTAATCCAGCCTCAGGATAATCATGCATGTTGACCTCATCCTAAAGCATCTTGGATCTGTCACATAACTCAGGACTACATGGGTTAGTTCCCATCCTTCACTGGAGCAAGGGAACTTTTAGATTCTGTGCAATGTATGTCAGTCATGAGATGACTAAAGGAAAACTCCCACTAATTTTGGATAAAGTGTTTCTGTGAACCCATACATACAATCCTACAAGTAGAACATGTTGTTCTAATGTATGGTGAGAAAAAAATGTGCCCTACCTATAAGTGTGAGAATCAAAGCATCAGTATAGTTGAATCTTTCAATAGTTTCTTTTTCACAATATCTTTAATTTCTTATGCATGAGGCCAATGCTGAAATGCTCACATTACAACAGAAGCCACAATCTTTGAAATACAAACTGGTATCATGCACATTAATCACAATGGCTGGGGTTGACTCACACATACGTTCAATAAAAGTCGTTTTGCTGATTCCTCAGTTGACTTTCATTCTCTCCTCTCCTGCTTTTAAACAGCTGTGAGGTTATGCATCCTGCAGATGGATGAGCCACAATGCTCATACAAACTTGCATTTCTCTTTTGTCAGCTTAATTTTTTTGGCCCACCGGCCAACAACTGCAGTAGGGGAGAATATCTCAGCTGGAGGGAAAACAGATTAATGTCTCCTCATTCTGAAAAAATGTGGCTTCCCTTGGTCCCTGATCAAACTTATCCCGAAAAGTGTTATTTATCGAGGAAAATAGATAACCGTACAAAGGTTTCATAATTGCCTTTTGAAGAACTAAGATATTTGTTGCACTGTGATGCTTTTCAGTAAAGTACCATACCTGCTGCACATTACTCAGTTGTTTAACTGGATCAAAACAAGGAACTTCCTTAATAGCAGAAGATGTGGCATCACTGAAATATTCAGTCACCGACGTGAATGGAACTGAGAGCTTGCATTTATTTCACAGTAATAATAATACATGGGACAACAGCCTCATTTATGCATGCAGGGTTTTGGTAGGGTGTTTCTAAACATATGATTATTATCAGGCTTATAATGGTGTTTGGGAGGGGCTGAGTTATAGGAACATAGGAAGGTACCATATACTGAGTCATACCATTGCTTCATCTAGTTCAGTAATGGTTACATTGACTGGCAGAGTGTCTCCAGCTTTTCAGTCAGGGGTCTCACCCAGACCTTCTTGGAGATGCCAGGAGTGGAACCTGGGACTTTCTGCATGCAAAGCAGATGCTGTACTACTGAGCTACAACCTTTCATAGGTGACTCACTCATATACTGTATGTAATGGAAAATACATTTTCATATTCTCATCCACAACCATCTATGAACATGATAGCATGAGAGTCTTTAGGGTTTTTTTCACCCATTGCATCTAATGTTCATTTTCATTTACATGAAATGGAAGTTATTACGGTGGTGGTGGTTTTGTAAAGACATGGTATTGGAATATGGTTTCAAAATGCAACATCATTTATGAATGGGGGGTTTAAAGCATGGCAGTCTCAGCTGCAAGGAGATTACTAGGGTTTACATTTTCTGTGTACACATTTTCTGTGCCGTCTTCTGAATGCAGTGTCATCAGGAAGCCCATTCAGATTTGTTCAAAGAGTCTTGGTTATGCATACACAGTTCACAAAAATATTCTCTACTCCAGGTAGGCCTGTGAAAACAGCTAAGCAGGAAAAAGAAAACATAACTCATTCTCTTTCAAATCACATAGGCACACAGAAGCACAAATTGGGATGATATGCCAAAATTCAGAAGGCACCTTCTTTTTTAGTTCCTTTCAGCTGCTTTGAATTTTCAACTTTTATTGCTCAGGATAGTCCATTTTGTTGGTATTCATTGCATACACACACACAAACACACACACACACACACACACAAACACACACACAAATGTCATGATAGGATATTGGAGACAAAAATGCTCAAGATGCAGACACTGTCGTTGAAAGGAATGCACAAGTATCTTTACAGGAAACTATTACCATAAAGACTTGCCTTTCTTTACCCTATGATTTCCTCTGGAAGGAACATGCCATAATTGCATTCTTCTAGGATAGGGCCGTTGACCCCAGAAAAATGTTACCCACAGACTAATTGTCTTAGAAATAGGCATGCTTAAGTGAAGATTCTGAATTAGGATATGCAGCCATGACTTCTACCAGTGTCTGTGGCTGAGCTGATGTTTGAAATGTAGTCTTTTCAGAAGCTAGTCATGCATTGCTACAGAAAGTGGTCTGTTTTTGCATTTGAGTTTTTCAGAACTCTGCAAGATGCTGAATATACAATGGAAAGTTGCAAGATTGGGAACAGCTTGGATAGCAGCAGGTTGAGCACAGCAGCACACATGTAGCAGAACAACTTTACATGTGCTATTATGGTTGATGTTTTTATTAGATCTGTTTCCATTGACCAGCAGTGTGCCAGCCACTAGGGGAAGGCGGGGGGGGGGGGGATCCCAAGGCGAAGCCTATTGGGTACACTTAGATCATGAAGCAAAGGAGATGAGTATGTGACATGAAGCATTTTACAAGGTGCTTAACAAGAACATGATTGGGGGGGAAATTGAAATCCATGAAATCAATGCCATAAACTTATATTGTTTATTCTTGGCAGTTAGTGAAGCGCAACAAGATCAATGTTAGAACAACATTATTCACTTTAAATATCAATGGCTTGAAAGAAGGAAAATGAATGGATGGATACTATGAGTCCCGTACCAATGATACTAAATGGGGAAGGGGGGGAGGTGGAGATGGAGTCAATACAAAAAGCAAAGAATAATACATTTTAAAATTACTTGGTTTGGCATACAGGTAAGTAGATTAGTGATGAGTACAGTTCAATATGACGAAGAGGAACGTAATGAGATTGGGGTAGGAGAGTAACTTGGGAAAGAGATGGGCTGACATTTCATTACACATACACAATTCAAGTCACTTATTGGAGCTGTGAATAGTCAGATGGGAGAACTAAGTGCTTACCTGTAAATCATCTTGCTACTGTTTCTGAGTCCACAACTGGGAAAAAAAGCCTATTTCAGCTGAGGGGCAGCCCCGTTCCAAAATTCCTTGACTGAGGAAGTAGCATTTTCCTCTGACACCTGGCTAAGTTGATTACTTTCAAAGGAGGGAATCCTGCTTACAAAAAAATACTGATTGGTATTATGACGACTGCAAAGCCAAAATGAAGTCTCATGAAAAATCTGTCTTTTGACACTCAGTGTAGATTCAGGTACCCAGTTTGACATCTTGGCCAGGATAGTGAAATTACTGCAGGACTTCACTCTTTGATGGAATGACTCATCATGGGAATATCTAGACACTTGACATTACCTGGCTCCCCCCATATGCTATGTGCTTTCCAAACTGTAATTGGGATGAACATACCAAACAATTTACTAATTTGTTAAAGTGATCTAATGCCCTATCAAAAGTGATGGGGGGAAGGACTCTATTGGGGATGGGTGACTTCTTCTAACTCACATAAGTTTGTCTTCTAAGATAAGCTTTGAAAATAACACCCATTGGCCATAGCTCAACTTATTTTCTAAACTAACCTGACTTTGAAAGCTGCCCACTGGGCCTTTCTCTCTTTCACTACTGGCTTCATCCACAGCATTGTGCAGATGGGCTGGCCTCGCACCAACATTTGTGTGGTCATTCTAGTTGTATGGAACCTGTATGCATGAGCAGCTGAAAAGCAAGGGCTTCTTTTCAGATGTGCATCCTCATTGCACAATGCCAGACTCCCAGTTCATTGTATAGACCCCTCTCTCTCAGGTAATGCAAGGAGGGGGCTGAGACAAAGTGAATTTGATGCTACATTCCTCCACTTTGGACCCTTCCACTGAGTCTATCGTTCTATTGTTACTAGCTGCTCTTCTCCCTTTCCAGCTCTGACTTACATTAGGGAATGTCATAGGATTCCAGGCAGCATGGAGTGCATGATGACAGACAATTAATTGATTGACATGATTTGTGATGTCACCCAAGTCAGTATTGCTGCTCACACCTTTAGAGCTGCATGCATCAAGTTGCCCGTCTAGCACATTATTGAGTGAACATTTTTATATTAGCCATGTTTATTTGACCTTTGTTTTCTCCCACTGGTCTGTTTACAATTCCACCAAACAGCACACTAGGAAGCACTCAATTTTGTTAGCATTTCAAAGTCTTCTTGATTTCATACTACTTCATTTGTTCTTGCTTAAGATTCTTTTGGAGCAACAAATGAAAGAATGATTCATATTTGTCTTTGACACATATGGACTAAATGTAGCATAAACGGCATTCTTTCATTTGGTACTTGTTACTTAAATGAATATTTGTGGTGGTTACACAGCAAGGCTTCAGAATAATGTAAGCGTTAGTAATTGATTTTCTTTTTAATTAATGAAATTATATGATGTATTATGGCTGTGCTGCATGTAATACAAGATCTCACAATACAGTAGATTTACTTTAATAATATTTTTTTTATTGTATTAAGTCCATGGAATATCATTTTTCAGCCATGAACAGCAGCTGTAGGTTTTAAAATGTGGATTTTTCATTTCTCTAAAATATCGGTAAGGTTTTTAGAGCTGAATATTAAGTGTCAATGCGATATACTGTGGGCAAAAGATTGGTGCTGTGAGAGGTTTGAGGTACGAGGAGGTTACATTCTATAAAGTGATTTTCCTTTGTGAAACAAGCAGAAGAGGCCTAGGGATAATCTTTAGTCTCCTTGGACATACTTTAAATTTCTGCCAGCTGCCAGTATGGTGAATGAAGCATGGTTACAGTGCCAGGAGTTGGCACCAGTTGACAATAACCAAATTCCTTCAGAAGGCCTCACCCCATCTTCCCTTCCATCTCCTTATACTGACCCAGGTTGCACCACCAGCAACAAAAACCATTCTAACCTACAAATGTTGTGGCTTGGGGCTGTGATTTTAATTCACCTGAGGGTAGCAAGTTAGTTTAAAAGGATGTGTGAGTATGACAGGCCTGTGGCACGTATAGCTTTGTTCTCCAATGGCTAGAGATGTGGGGACTCTTGAGGATGGTTGGGGGGGTCTGTTGCCCTTCAGCATCTGCCCCTGAGGTGATTTTCTCACTCTGCCTAATGGTAAGGCCAATCTTGCCTGGCGTGACACAACAGGAGTATGTAACATGGCAGCTATATAGAACAGGTCTTCTTGTGTCACTAAATCCTCTAAAATCTCAAGTACTGGATTCCTCAAGCAAGCCTAGTTCCTGCACATGCATTTTAAATTTGCCACCTTGACATAATCAGGACTAATTTCTGCCATTAGAAAATGAGCAGTGTAGATGATTTACAAGATGCTCTTAGATCATATAACAGAGGAAGATGGGATGTTAGGATTAGAATAAGAGCTCTGATTCAAATGGCATTTTCATCCTTCTTGTGGGTAAATGAAGAAACCTGAATAAAGTTTCCCAGTTTGTCAGATGACGTCTTGGAGGCACAGGTGCTTTCCAGTGGTAAGAATTACAACACAGAAAATAGAATAGTTAGATTCAATAGTGATTAGGGACAAACAGTGGTTAGTTTGCCTCCTAGGAGATAATGATCGTATACTGTAAAATGAAAAGAAAGCTAATGAGCGTATGCAATAGTATTTGCTGGACGATCACTAGAAGCTATAATATTGGAATAAGAATGTGGAATTAATTGCATTGAGGGAATTGAATCATGATTTATTTACAGGCAAAACCTATCATTTGCTAAAACACCATGGATTAGCTTCATGAAGGAAATGGACTACTATAACTAGACCAAAATTAAAACCATTTATGAGAGAGCATTAAAATATAAATATTATAATAGGAAATGGTGTTGAAAACGAGTTACAATTTATATGAAAATATAAATTTAGTTTGCTGTACAAGATTGTTCTTAAGGTGTAGCATGTAAAATAAAAAAGTTATATTGTTTTCAGGATCAAAATCTAGTGGGATATATAGTTGTCAGGGAACTGCCATCGGAGCTAGAGGCAAAGGGAAGGCTCCAGAGGGATGGCGGAGAGGGTCCCAGTAGGGAGAGAGGCAGTCCGTCCGCTGGGGAAGGAAATCAGCGTAACACCAGTAGAGAAGGGGGGCAGATGGGGGAATCGGAGAGGAGGCTCCAAGACTCCTCGCCGGAGACCAGCGGAAAGAGTACGGGTCCTCCGCTGCCCACACCCTCCCTGCGCAGAAGGCTTCTGCGCAGGGAGTCTAGGCGGAGTCTAGGCGGAGAC